TTCAGACTTTAACGTGAAAGGAAGGTACTGTATAGTTTGTACTGTCTTGCTAGCTGAATTACCTCTATCGGTTTTGTTTATTCACTCGCCTTGGTCTCTCGCTGATGGTTATCTTTAAAAACCAACCTAGTAGTTAAGAACAAGAAAATTACAAGAGTCTCTACATCTAAGGAGGAACAGAAACGATGCTATTTTGTCCTTAACTTTCAGTTCCTGTCCTCTTGACGGTTTATTAAGGAAATCTGAAGTTCTGTAGTTTTAGTGAAAGTAGACTATGCTCAATGCCTAAGCGAAAGCAGATTTTGACGCTTTTCTTATATCTTATATGGGAAAAACCAGGGCATAGTCCGCTCTTTGGTTATGACTTCTGGTACCAGCCTCGACATAACACCATGATCAGTTCCTCTTGGGGAGCTCCATCCGCTTTCACAAAAGGTTTCAACCTCCAGCATGTTACTGATGGGCTTTATGGTCGGCATTTGCATGTCTACACATGGCCTGGTGGTGAACTAAAACAGACATTGGATCTTGGAAACACAGGGCTCCTGCCGCTAGAGGTAATCAAACTCCCATGTTCTCCCTTTTTAACTTCGCGCCATGATTTATCCTGCTGAATACATTAATATATTCGTTTTCCTCTTTTGATTTATAGGTAAGGTTCTTGCATAATCCATCTGAAGCATTTGGATATGTGGGGTGTGCTTTGACCAGTAACATGGTGCGATTTTTCAAGAATCCAGATGGCTCGTGGGGTCATGAGATAGCAATCGCTGTAAAACCGGTGAAGGTGCAGAACTGGATTCTTCCAGAAATGCCTGGTCTTATTACTGACTTTCTGATCTCTCTTGACGATCGTTTTCTATACCTAGCAAACTGGCTACATGGTGACATTAGACAGTACAATATCGAAGATCCTGCCAATCCTAAGTTGACTAGCCAAGTATTTGTTGGAGGAGTGTTTCAAAAAGGAAACTCTGTACTCGCTGAAGCTGAAGATGGTTCAACATACCAAGTGGATGTCCCAGAAGTCCAGGTACAAACCCTTTCTATAACAACTCATTTGTTTCGATATTTTTTTGATTCTATAGTGAAGTGTTGTTTATAGAGGATATATATTACTCTATAACATAACATAAAAATCAGTTCCGCGAAAAACTTGGCTTTTATAGTGAACGAGTCACAACAGCAATCTCTTTTTTTTTTTGAATTTCTTTTTCTTAATTGAAAATTAACATCTCAATAATTTTAGTAATGCTGTAGGAAATGACAAGTTGTAGGTTTTCACCTTGCTCAAAAAAAAAAATGATATGTTGCTTCCAAATTCACTGCTTATATCAGGAAAATATGAATTCATTTAGTCAAGTTTTAGCATTTTGTTTACTTCTCAAGTCTCATCTGTGGTGCGGAACTCAAATAAGGTTGATATTATTAACTTAGATTGTTTATATCTACCCCTTTGTCCCGACTGTTGTTTTAGATTCATGTGCACAATCACTATAAACGACCTTCTGCATTACTTCCAGGGACATCGATTGAGAGGGGGACCTCAGATGATACAGTTGAGTCTAGATGGAAAGCGTTTGTACGCCACAAACTCACTGTTTAGTACATGGGACCGTCAATTCTACCCCGAGCTATTGGAGAAAGGAGGTCACATATTACAAATCGATGTTGACACTGAGAAAGGTGGCCTTGCTATAAACCCGAGATTTTTCGTTGATTTTGGAGCAGAACCTGATGGTCCATCCTTGGCTCATGAAATGAGGTATCCTGGTGGTGACTGCACTTCTGATATTTGGACATAAAGTGGTTAAAATCTGATCAAGAATAAAGTCTGGTGACTCTGATCCCATGTTGTTACATTAGCTACTGAATATCCAATGTATTCTGTTAGTGAAACAAATGTCTGTACTCAGGGGCGGCCCAAGGGTCAAGCCACTAAAGCAAAGGCTTTAGGCTTCTAAATTTTTCTTTTGTTTTTCTTCTCGTATTTGTATTGAGACCCCGACTAATCTAGATTCGTATCGCGTAAGGCCTAGTAAAAGAGAGAACACGTTTTAACAGAATTTTTTTAACCGCAGGACTCGAACCCAATATATTTAATTAAGGTAAGTTGGATCAAATACATCTCACAACAATCTTTAGAGGTAGGGTCTAAATATATTGGGTATGTTAAAATAAAAAATAAAATATTTTATAAAAAGTCAAGATAACTTTTAATTTAGTAGTGATATAACCGTTTGAGCAAAAAATGGAGAAAGAGAAGCACTCCCCCTAAACCCTTGTCGCGAATATAAAACTTTTCATTATTTAAATTTTACGAGTGACATCATTAGTGAGGTATCTATATGAATTTGGTTCTATTATCTAAGATCAACAATATCTTAGGAGAGACTAAATTATTTATAAAAGAAACTATTAACAACTGATGTTAGGCCAAAATTTTATACTTTTAGCACATTACTCACCCTATATTTTGTTGGTTTAAGTGAATTATTGTGCGACAATTGCGCTAAATTGTGTTGTTCTATGTGTAGGAACATCGAAATGAATCACCGATATTATGATAAAAAAAAATTTCCTTCTAAAAGGCCCCAAATTAAAAATTGGCTTTAGGCCACCAATCTTCTTGGGCCGCCCCTGTCTACCTTAAAACAACACTTCAATAATTTTAGCTTGCACTTGTACTTTTAAATTTCCTCCTCTCTTTCCTCATCTTTACATCTTTCCTCCTCTCTTTCCTCATCTTTACATCTTTTCATTACAAATGGCTCCCTATCTTGTTGGTTCATTTCTTGTTTTCAGAACTTTTACACTACTTAACTTTTGTCTAAGCATCATCTGCAAAAGCTTCTGTTTTTCTTCTTTTCTGTTTTCCTTTTTATGGGGGCGGTTGAGTACTTACATTGCAGAAAAGATTGGAAAAAGAACTATTTTACTCCTTAGAAATGTAATGCTGAATTAAACAGCATTATTCCAAGCTAATACAATGGATTAATATAAATGAAAAAATTATCACATCTACAGCTTTTCCTAGTATTTTTTTCTAAGTCAGAGTACCCACGACCGTTAGGTCCTGGGTTCGAGTCACGCCGGAGGAAAAGTTTGAAAACACTATAGATTCTCCTAATTTGTGAGGGAATTTAAAAATTAAAAAAAAAAATGTGACATCCACCAAATGTCATCTTTTTTAAGCAGTAAAAGGGCTGAGTTTTTTTTTTACCAAGTAATCTCATCAACTATTCATTTTTGTGAATCAACCATCCATATAAGTAGAATTCACATTTAGGGGCGGAGCTAAGGGGCACAAGGGGGTTCATTTTGCCAGAAATTATATTGTATATATAATGTTAAAATTATTTTTGTATGTATATATAATAGATGTTGAATTCTCTTAAGTTTTTCCATCTATTTACTTGAATATCCTTACTCAAAATTTTAACTCCGCACAAGACCAATTATTTTTTATGGTAATTGACAAATAAATCGTTTTTTATTCTTTTTGTAATTACGTATACCCTCATCTGCAAGGTACAAGAAATTCAACTTGAGTGATTGTGTAGCGTACCACCATCTCTCCTCTACGTAGATCCGCCCCTGTTGATATAACACATCTTTAAAGGATAAGAAAACTTGTACAAGATTATTCGCTATGAGAAAGAAAAGTTGCATGTAATATCATTTCTTAAGAGACATTACACGAGCCCATTAAATTTATATTCCACGTCGAAAGTTATAGATTCAGTTGAACCCGATATAATAATAAGGCTAGATTTGCCTCTGGGCCTAACAGCACCAACAAGGTGGATTTTATTTATCTAAAAAAAAAGGTGTCACCAATATGGAAAATAACATTAAACATTTGTTGAATTTACATGCAAAAACGCAAAGGTATATTCAAGATTTAAATTTCATGAGTTCAATCTTTAAGGTTTTAGCATTGAACCCATAATATATTTGAAGTTATCGATTCATATCTATTATTTATTACAATTCTAGTGAATTTTTAAACATAATTTTATGCTCTGTGACAAAAGTAATGAGTTCAGATAAATCCGGTACTGTAGGGCGGGATCCGCCCCTACAAAAAGGCAGACAAACAAATTTGGGATGCCAAACTCATATTGTATATAACATTTTGAACATCAATGATCAATGGAAGCCAAATTAAAATTTTAATTTTTTTTTAAAAAACAATGAGGCTCCAACTTGGCTACGGGTTGCTTTTCATCCGAACCTACATTTAAGAAATCCACTAAAACTCTAAATATCTATAAATATTTGACTGTGAACAATTATTGTACTATTAACTTGAGGTCGTCATATAAACCCATAAATTTCAAGTTGTGAATCTGCCTCTAATTAGTGGACAAAACGGGATTTGATACTAAATATAGCTCTAAAACGTTGGCACCTTTACTATGTAAATCATAGGAAAACAGCTTTGTAGAAATGACGCTTTTGTTCGTTATGCTTCCTACACAAAAGACATTAATAAGATGTAATTTTTTATAATAAAAAAACATAAACCAAAACAAATACTGTAAATTTTACCAGACAAGGTCACAAGTTCATCCCAAAGAAGTTGGCTACTCTCTAAAACTCCGTATTTGTTCATATATTCTGGGATAGACATAAACATAAAAAAGTATCATATGCTAGTAGTTGAGAAGAATTTTGCAGGGTTAGCTTTGCAACGCCTTCGGACGTTAGTTTTAATTTTAGCAAAGACAGAAACAGAGGAAGAACAATTTGATTAGCTCTAAAGGAAAGTTATCTTGACTCAGAACTTTGCTCCTGTTGAAACTCTTTTTGGGTACTCAAGAATAAGAATGATCCACATCTCCAGGTAAAGATATAACTTTATCATGTTGGTCTAAATATAACAGATGGATCCCTATCTTCTTTACTGTAATGTCGTCAGACCACACTTCTATCCTTTCCCCGCCTTTAATCATCTGGCCATAATAAAGTTCACTTAAGTAATATACACATGTCAGTTATCTGTGTCCATCAAGTATTCCAATATCCCTAGGAATATCAGCATCGGACAAATTACAATATCTAAGGCTCAATTCGGCTACAAAAGTTAGCAAGGAATATTGTATCCGATGGACACCTCTTCCAGAAATACTCCTTTTGGCCTCTAACTCTTGACCTCCCACTCTCAAAGTTACAAGATTTCTTAGCATTTCAACAGATCTAGGCAATTGTTTTATACCTGTATCATCTGCATAAAGAAATGTTAGACTTTTCATATCTCCAAGGTTATCTGGCAGTGTTTTTATAGAAGAGCAGTGATGAATGAACAATTCTTCAAGGGATATTAGCTGGCATATACTGCTTGGAAGATCCCCAAGTTTTTCGCAACGAGACATATCTAGTTTAATTAGTCTGTCCAAATTTCCTATTGATGGATGGATCTCTGTCAAACTTGTGCAACCACCAAGCAGCAAAGTCTCAAGACTTCTGAGTTGCTCGCAATAAGAGAGATTCAGCTTCTTCAAACTTCTAAAACACTAAAAGTAAATCAAATATAGTTTCAATTAACATTTTCTTTCACTCAGTTGCAATAACAGTACACATGAAATTGTAAAATTGAGTAACAAACCTGCAAATTCAATCGAAATTCTTGCATATTACTGCCGCTCATATCTAAAACTACAAGATTCTCAGCAGGAAAATTTGATGGTATATATTTTAAAGGACAGTTTTGCCAAGACAACCATTTGAGCTTCTTGGACAACAGCCCAAAATCTCCACTAATATGTAACTCATCCATTATAAGAACCCTAAGATTCTTCATTTGCTCAAATGCTTTGGTGCTCAAGTTCACTCCCTTTAATGTCCCTGGATCTACCTTCAGTACTTCTACATTTTCGGAACCCTGCAACTCAGTAAAAAGAAAAGTAACTTAAGCTCATGTTAAGTCCCAGAAATTAAGCGAGAAAAATGCTTTATACAAATTGGTGGACAAACAAAGAGAATACACCATGTATCAACAAAAATGAACTTACACATTAGAGGATGTTAAACAAATTTAAAATTGCTCAAAAAGCTAAGATGAGAGCCTTTCAAAACTGGCTAGCATCATTCACTAAGTTCACATGATAATATCAAAGGGAAAAAAATGAATAAAGATAACAAATTGCATCTAGAAACCTGATAATAGCACCCGAACCAAACCAACTTCTTTCTCTTGTTAATGATTCTAATTGGTTTTTGTGGTCCACGTCATCAAGAACAATTAGAACCTTCTTTGACTCGAGTCTTGCTTTGATTAGATTGATGCCTTGAGCAATACTGCCAACTTTGATGTCCTTATTTTTGAGTAATTGTTGAAGAAGTTTCTCTTGTAGCTTGACAAGGCCAAATTCTTCAGCTTCTGATCTAACATCGGAAAGGAAGCAATTACCATCGAAGAGTCGAAACATTCGATTGTAGATAGCTTTTGCCAGAGTTGTTTTCCCTATGCCACCAACTCCGTGAATACCAATCATGCGAACTTCATCTACACATTCATTTTGCAATAACAACTCTATATCTTTGACACGAGAATCTATTTCAACTGGGTGCCAAGCAACATCTAGAGGTGTCTGGTTGACCTCTTGTAGGACTTTGCTGTATAATGTTTTCAATAAACTTTGATTCATGCCTACAAAGTTTTTAGCAAAAACAAAAAATTAAAAGAAATACTACTCCAGTAAATAAAACTTTGATATTTGAAAGTGCGGTCGGATCGTTTCTTATTTTCTTTTCCAATTATGCCCTTATTTATTACTCCATAATTTTATTTTATCATTTTTTTATTTTAACTCCAAATCTATATATATATATATATATATATATATAACTGTGTAGGCTGATGAGGCTGCCATGAACATATACTGATATAGAAAATATACAGGACTCATCTACAAGCCTCTAGAGATAACTAAAATGTACCATGGTTGGGACAGGGCCTCGACGTACCCATCAAACATGTATATATAAAATGGACTCCAAGGTCTAGACATGATAACTCCGAGTGAGTGGAGCTTACCAACCAAGCTGATTTTTGACTCTGTCTCTTGGGAAGGTCTATCCAGCTGTCTATGAGGTCCTTACCAACCAAGCTGATATTTGACTCTGTCTGCTGGGAAGGTTTATCTAGTTGTCTATCAGGTCCTGCAGGCATGAGATGCAGCATCCCCAATAAAAGGGACGTTAGTACGAATTAATATACCGAGTATGTAAGACAGCAAAATAACTGAAAGCTGAAACGAAACTGATAATATAATAACTGAAAGTAACTAGGAGTCAAAAATGATCTGAAGATATGCTTAGCTGTTGATACTAACTCAACTCTCTTAAAATGGTAAATAAAATAGATGTCCCGCACTATAAGTCTCGGTACATATAACTGCTCTGCTATAGTTGGATCGCTCATAGGCGCTCAACCATACTAGGCTCGGTATCTTGGCCATTCTGGGCTCGCTATAGGCGCTCGGCCACAGTTAGCTCGGTATATAACTTATCATCTGATCAGAGGTTGCTCAATAGGGGCCTGCCCACCGATTATAGNTAACTGAATATAAAGTCTTTATAAGGAAGGATACTATAACTTATGAGACTATGATAATGTACACAAGTTCAAGAATATGAACTTCTCTTTATGTCTCGTTACCAAACACATGAAGTTATGGGATCATGCCAAAATGAAGGAAGGGTTTAGCCTTAATATACCTTAACCTAGTTGAGTCCTTAATATCTTCCAAGCAACTCAACTCAGTCTACCATAGCATAAGGAGATTCAAAATCGGTGCTGAGTAAAGGCTAAGTTCATAACTTAAGCTAGTATCTCATTTATGTAAATTTGGGTAGAATATCCCCTGTAAGAAGGGACTTCTCTAATATCATATACCAAAATCCCAACAACACCAATAAATCTACACAACAATAAGTGCACAAACGTCGCACACAAAACTGTTATTTAACACGACGAGCGGCAAGCTTGGATTGGAACCAAACCCCAACTCTTTTTCCCATCTTCCCTGTACTTACAAAACCAAAAATAGGTCCAGCATATAAACATATATATTGACATGACATTCCAACCTTATATCCATCATAAAAGTAACATCAAACAGCCCCACAAGATAAAATAACGACACGAACAACTTCTAGGTAATGTGTGGTTGCTTCTTCTCCTATTTACAACATCATCAACATACTCAAAATATTGACAAGCATAAAAACAATAAGAACATTATAACTAGGCTATTCCCCCCGATTTCCATCCATATGAAGTCATATATACAAGTTTAAAGTAGGCCAATAAGAGACAACAATTTCTTTACAACTTAAAGTTCTATCTTATAATTCTTCATCCAAATAACTTAACCAACGCATAGATAAGATTAATCCCAAGAAATAGGGTATTATATATACCTTAAATAATTTGGAAAACTCGAACCAAAGATTCCCTTAGCTTATAAGCACCCTTAATCACATCACAACACCATAAAGACTCTCTTCTTTACTTAGGCTAACCTTTGAGGTTAGGTTTAGGTAAAACACCATTGGATTCAACTTGGAACCATTGAGAACTGTTAGAGAGGTGTTGATAGAGTTTGGGAACTGTCCTTGGTCGAAAATGACAAAAAATAAGCTGTCCAAGCCCTTTAAAATGTTCAAGGGTCGTCCATCGCCTAAGTGGGTCCAATTGAGAGATGCTTGCGCGGTCTCGCAAAAACGTGAATATATCTCTACTTAAATGTTGTATCGATTAACGGTTTAATGAGTTAGAAACTATACTCGTAGATCTGAAATGTGGTAGGTAGATCATCCCCTAATTCTAAGTATATTGGGAGAAAATCTCATCTACATTTGACCTAAGTTTCAACACATTTATGAATGCAACTTTTTTGATATCCTTCTCCAACACATGACTATCATATGACTAAAATAACTCGTAAAATAATCTCCTTATAATGTTAAGCACCTTAGTCTCATCCCAAAAGTACATGTTATAACATTCCCAACTTCTCGACTTTCAACGAAACTTATTTTCTTCAATTCGTTTAGCTTCTAAGCATTCAAACCCTCTTGGTTCTTGGTATTCATGATCTTAAATATTTGTAACCTCCACGTTAGCATGATTAACTAACTTTGTAAACTTTTCAAAGATGATTTCATTTCTGAGCTTACATCAATTGACTTACGACGTACTCATACGTACGAAAACATGGGGTGTAACAAAAACGATCGGTCGGGTCGTTACAAACGAGGAGTAGAAGAGATTAGAGAGGTTTGGGAGACTCCATCCTCTAACTTTCAGTGGAACTGAGTCAGATGATACTCAGGATTTCTTGGACAGATGCCAATGGATGCTTCATACAACGGGTATGCCGGAGACCAGTGGGGTCTCATTTACTACTTTTCAGCTGACCGGAGCAGCCTTCAGATGGTAGGAGACTTATGAGAGGAGCAGGCCAGTTGATGCAACACGACTTTCATGGCATGAGTTCCCCGCATTATTTCTGGAGAAGTTTATGCCACAAACCCGCTGAGAGGAACTGCGGAGGGAGTTCGAGTATTTACGTCAGGAGGACCTGTCTGTGACCTAGTATGAGACATGGATTTCAAAATTGGCCTGTCATGCAGTTTGGTTGGTTCCCACTGAGAGGGAGAAGATCATGAGGTTCATTAATAGCCTCAATCATAGTTTTGTTTTGTTATAAATCTGGGAAATGTAGCAGGTGATAAATTCGACGAGGTGGTGGACAATGCTTGACGACTAGAAAGGGTCTGTACTTAGGAGCGTGAGGAGAGGGAGGCCAAGAGGTCTCGTGGTCCGGGTAATTCCAGCGGTGTTCCTTCTGGAGGACAACCTTATCACAACAGAGGTTCACCTTATAGGCCCGCAAAGATGGCTCGTCCAACTCATCGTGGCGTATCAGCTAGCCATGGTTCATACAGTGCTTGACCGAGTCAGTATTCTCTTAATACACTTCCATCTCAGAGTTCATCTCGTGCACCATCGGTTCAGGATTCATCTGTACCAGGTTCTTCTGGTAGTTATTCTGGTTCTCGAGATCCGCCTCAGAACTAGCCACCATTATTTGAGAGAGATTGCTATGAGTGTGGAGAGTTGGGTTATGTGAGGAAATATTGTCCCCGTCTTTCGCGAGGTCCAGTTCAGGAGAGAATTCAAGCTATGACTCCTGCACTAGCTGCTACGCCACCGGCCCAGCCAGTGCGGGGTGGGGCTCAGGCAGCCAGAGGTCATCCTAGAGGGGGAGGTTGATCAGGTGGCGGTCAGGCCCGATTCTATGTTATTCCTGCTAGGCCAGATGTCTTTGCTTCCGATGCAGTGATCACATGTATTGTCTCAGTGTGCCACATGGAAGGTTCTATATTATTTGACTCTGGTTCCACATATTCGTATGCATTATCATATTTTGCTAGTTATCTGAATATGCCCCGTGAGTCCTTAGTCTCATATATTTATGTTTTAACTCCCGTAGGCGATACTATTATTGTGGACCATATGTATCGGTCGTGTGTGGTAACTATTTGGGGATTGGAGACTAGAGTTGATCTTTTATTGCTTAGTATGGTTGAGTTCAATGTGATCTTGGGTATGAATTGGTTGTCTCCATGTCATGCTATTCTAGACCATCACGCAAAAATTGTGACATTGACGATGCCGGGGTTTCCTAGGATCGAATGGAGAGGTTCTCTATATTATGTTCCTAACAGAGTAATTTCTTATTTGAAGGCCCAACGGATGGTTGGGAAGGGGTGTTTGTTATATTTGGCCTTTGTGAGAGATGTTGATGCAGACACTCTTACTATTGCGTATGTACCGGTAGTGCAAGACTTTCCAGATGTATTTCTTGCAGACCTGCCGGGTATGCCACTCGACAGGGATATTGATTTAGGTATTGACTTAGTGCCTGACACTCGGCCCATTTCTATTCCTCTGTATCATATGTCACTAGCTGAATTGAAAGAATTAAAGAATTAAAAGAGCAACTTTAGGAACTTCTTGATAAGGGTTTTATTAGGCCTAGTGTGTCTCCTTGGGGTGCACCACTTTTATTTGTGAAAAAGAAAGACGGTACTATGCAGATGTGCATCGACTATAGGTAGTTGAACAAACAATTAAGAACAAGTATCTTTTGCCTCGTATTGATGATTTATTTGACCAGCTTCAGGGAGCGAGGGTGTTCTCTAAGTTTGGTTTAAGGTCTGGGTATCATCAGTTGAATATTCGGGATTCAGATATTCAACAGACGGCATTCAGGACCCGCTATGGTCACTATGAATTTCTCGTGATGTATTTTGGGGATGACCAACGCCCTAACAACATTCATGCACTTGATGAACAGTATATTTCAGCCATATCTTGATTCATTTGTCGTATTATTTATTGATGATATCCTAATGTACTCACGTAGCCAGGAGAAGCATGCACAACATTTGAGTATTGTACTACAGAGGCTAAGAGAGGAGAAACTTTATGCCAAGTTCTCTAAGTGTGAGTTCTGGCTTAGTTCAGTGGCATTCTTGGGACACATAGTGTCTAGTAAAGAAATTAAGGTGGATCCGAAGAAGATAGAGGCAGTTCAGAGTTGGCCCAGACCATTTTCAACTACTTAGATTCAGAATTTTCTCGGCTTGGATGATTATTATCGTCGTTTTGTGGAGGTCTTCTCATCTATTGCATCTCCCTTGACTTAATTGGCCCAGAAAGGTGCCATATTCAGGTGGTCGGATGAGTGTGAAGAGAGCTTTCAGAAACTTAAGACTACCTTGACCATAACTTCAGTTCTAGTTTTGCGTTCAGCTTCAGGCTCTTATACAGTGTATTGTGATGCTTCTCATATCGGTATTGGGTGTGTCTTAATGCAGGAGAGTAGAGCGATTACTTATGCTTCATGCCAGTTGAAGCCACATGAGAAGAACTACCATGTTCATGATTTAGAGTTGGCAGCTATCGTTCATGCATTAAAGATTTGGGGGCACTATCTCTATGGTGTGTCTTTTGAGGTATTTATAGATCATCGGAGTCTCCAACACTTTTTCAAAAAATATGATCTAAATTTGAGGCAGCGAAGATGGTTGGAGCTACTAAAGGACTATAATATTACCATTATGTATCATCCCGGTTAGGCTAATGTGGTGGCCGATGCCTTGAGTAGAAAGGCAATGAGTATGGGTAGGCTTGCATTCATTCCTTTTGGTGAGAGACCTCTTGCAGTTTATTTTTAGGCCTCGGCTAACCAGTTCGTGAGATTAGATATTTCGGAGTTCAGTCGGGTTCTAGCTTGTATGATTTCTCGATCTTATTTATATGCCCGCATCAGAGAGCCCTAGTTTGATGATCCCCATTTGCTTTTCCTGAAGGACACAATAACATGGTGATGCTAAAGATGTTACTATTGGAGATGATGAGACGTTGAGAATGCAAGGTCATATTTGTATGCCAAATATAGATAGACTGCGTGAGTTGATTCTTGAAGAAACCCATAGTTTGTGGTATTCCATTCATCTAGGTGCTGCTAAAATGTACCAGGACCTCAGGAAACATTATTGGCGGAAAAGGATAAAGAAAGATAAAGTTGGGTTTGTAGCCCGGTGTTTAACTTGTCAACAGGTAAAGTATGAGCATCAGAGACCGGTCGGATTGCTTCAGAGACTTGAAATTCTAGAGTGGAAATGGGAGCGTATTAACATGGACTTCGTAGTTGGACTCTCATGGACTTCAAAAATGTTTGATGCTATTTGAGTGATTGTGTATCGGTTAACCAAGTCCGCACACTTTATTCCAGTTGGGACTACTTACTCTTCGGAGCGGTTGGCTGAGATTTATATCCTCGATATTGTTCGCCTTCATGGTATGCCAGTGCCCATCATTTCATATCGGGGCACGCAATTTATATCACAGTTTTGGAGAGCAGTGCAGCGAGAATTAGGCATGCAGGTTCAGTTGAGTACATCATTTCACCCTCAGACGGACGGACAGACAGTCTGAGCGCACTATTCTGATATTAGAAAAAATGCTACGTGCTTGTGTTATAGATTTCAGGGGTTCTTGGGATCCGTTTCTGTCACTTGTAGAGTTTGCCTATAACAACAACTACTAATAGAGCATTCATATGGCTCTTTATGAGGCTTTATATGGGATACGGTGTCGATCTCCGGTGGGTTGGTTTGAACCGGGTGAGGCTAGGCTATTGGGTACTGATTTAGTTTAGGATGCTTTGGAAAAGATTAAATTGATTCAGGATTGACTTCGCATGGCGCAGTCTAGACAAAAGAGTTATGCCAACCGGAAAGTTCACGAAGTTGCTTACATGGTAAGAGAGAAGGTACTACTCTGAGTTTCTCCTATGAAGGGTGTTATGGGGTTCAGAAAGAAGGGCAAGTTGAGTCCTAGGTATATTGGGCCTTTTGAAATACTTAAGAAGATTGGAGAGGTGGCTTATGAACTTTCATTGCCGCCTAGTCTATCGAGTGTTCATCCAGTGTTTCATGTATCTATGCTCCGGAAGTATGTCGGAGATCCGTCTCATGTTTTAGATTTCAGTATGGTTCAGTTGGATGGTAATTTGACTTATGATGTGGAGTCGGTGGCCATTTTGGACCGGCATGTTCGATAGTTGAGGTCAAATAATATACCTTCAGTGAAAGTACAGTGGAGAGGCCAGCCAGTCGGAGAACCTACATGGGAGACTGAGCTGGAGATGCGGAGAAAATATCCATACCTATTTGAGACTCCAGGTATGATTCTAAACCCGTTTGTTTGAGAGAGGGAGAATGTAACGACCCGACCGATCATTTTAAGTATTACAGCCCCGTTTTCCCATTTGCTGAATAGTTTATGCTCAATTGTGATTATGTGACTTGTCGGGGAGGTTTCAGAATGAATTGGAATAATTAGTTCCAAAATTTAAAGCTTAAGTTGAAATAGTTAATCGGATGGTGACTTATGTGTAAACGACTCCGGAATAGAGTTCTGATGATTCCAATAGCTCCGTATGGTGATTTTGGACTTAGGAGTGTGTCTGGATAATTATTTGGAAGTCCGTAGTTAAATTAGGCTTGAAATGGCGAAAACAGGAATTTATGTTTGGAAGTTTGACCGGGAGTTGACTTTTTGATATCGGGGCTGGAATCCAGTTCTAAAACTTTTCATAGGTCCGTTATGTCATGTATGACTTGTGTGCAAAATTTGAGGTCAATCGGACTTGATTTGA